GTGATTGATGGGCCTGTGTCATGATCACCTGGGAAAGCTACTATAGTACAGTTTAATACTATCTATGTCTTACTGGCTTCAGTCTAAATGGCACCTTAGAAAGAGTTCATGCTGGGTTTTGAACCCAGGGCTTTTACATTAGAAGAATACCCTCTTGCGTTATATGCCCAGTCCTGAATTTTCACTTCGAAAGTTGTTTCCAGGCTAGTCTTCTAGAACCAAAGATTTGAGACCCATTGGTTTGGCTTGGACAGTTTGCAATTTTGGTTGTTCTCTAAAGGGTCTTTTTTTGAGGGTTTACCAAGAAAATAACTAAAATTAATAGCAGACTTAGAAAGGTTAGTTGCTTCTTTATTTCTTACATTTGCTGATATTTTTATTCTAAATGCCCCAGGATTTAGAAGTATTTATTACTAGCAGGTATCATATATAAAAGTATAATTCACCCCTCACAAAATCTTTGTGTCAGAGTATCAGCTATGCCAAAATCATTATTTGTATTCATATGTTATATTATTTAGTAATCAATTTTTCATTTAATTTAAAATAATTAAGAAATGTTTCTCCATTTGGCTTGAGATTATCTAATAAAGAATTTATATTCAGAGACTAGGTTTCCTGTCAGTTGCATAATGTGCAATAATTCTTTGCTAAGTGCAATAGGCAAACTAGACTATTCTCTTTACTTAATCCAGTCATTAATGTTCCAAACTTCATAATCATCTTGACTATTCATGAAGACTTTTGATCCATTCTGTTTCCTGTGTTATGGGGTATTTTACCTTTAGTCAGTGTCCATTTGTTTATTCTGTTATTTTCTATTTTCCTTGGCTAAAGGAAAATCAACTGCCATATTGGTTTTTCAAATAAGCAAGTCATTTGTAGACTTGATGATATTTGCAATATATTACCTTTCTTAGATTCCTATTTGTATATGCTTCAATTTAATCTACCATATAAACAAAACCACAAAGGAGAATATCCATAAAGTCCTGAGTTTGATATTTAACTTATATTTTCAAGGTCTTATGAAATTTTGAGGCCAATGCATAACTGTTCACATAGGAGTCTCACACAAAGCAAATAAGAACAAACTGACATAAGGAAGATTAAAATTTATAATTTAGACAAGCAATTGACTAAGCAGTTGGCAAAAAGTAATGTTCTCTATTATCTGGAACTGTATCTTGTTTTATTGTACACAAAACAAGATTCTACATTACCTAACTTACCTTATGTTGGTATTACTAAATAGTAAATATTGATTGAGAAAAATAGGATAAATTAAGAGATTCCTTCAAATAATTCTTATAGGCTGTATATGAATAGTACAAAGCCCACGGCAGTAAGCTATTGTGTCACCCATATTATAAATTTCTGAATAGTTGCTTCATTTAAATTTGTTGTTAAATGTACATTCAATATCACGTAAAAAGGGAAAATGCCCAGAAGAAAGGGACTCGGCAAATGACTCACAAGTTATCATTCATTTTTGTTTCTCAAAGGAATTACACAAGGAATTTAACCTTGAAAAGACCAATGATGTGATAATTACTTTACGTGTTTGAATTAGCCAATCAAACCTCTTTAAATTCAATAGTGAAGGATAAAACTGGATTGTAAATAGACTTAGTTTTTCAACCAGTCTTGCTTTTCCTTTTTTCCCCAAGCCAACTGGGCATTTCTTAAGTCTATCCTCACAACCATGGTAGGAATTAGTCCTAAGAATTATAAGCCTACAAAGAAAGGAAAGGAAGAGTTTAACAAGAGTTATTAAATTAACAAACATACTTACATATGTTCCAACAACACATCATTGAATTTATTGTCATCTATTATCAGGTAGAAATCAGAAGAAACACTTGTAGCTTAATAAATAATTTAATTTCTTGAATTTCTATGTAACATATAAATTTATTTTTACAGGATATATAGAGAGCATACTCATAGAGAGCAACAGACTTATGAAACGACTATAAAACACAAATTATAAGTCGAGTTTAAAATTTCTCGATTTTACACGTGTATTTGTCTATTTTCCTATTGCTACTCAAAGCAAAACCAAATATATAATTGTAAGTATTCTAAGAAAAAAAAAGGAGCGCCCCCATCACCTACTCATGAGTTACATACATTCTAGATTGTACAAAGTCAAAAGAGGATGAGCAAAACTCAAGAGAAATACTATGTAAAATGCACTTGTACTGACTGTGAACAGATCTGAGCATGTCTGAGTTTAAAACACGACTTGAACACCAGCAGAGGAAAATGACTATATCCACTTTCCTATTTGGGTTCCCTCAAACTCTGAAGATGCAAAAGTTGTAATTAAATAGCAGATTATATGAACACATCTCCACTATTTTGGTGGAAAGAATATACTACGGATTCTTGTTAACAGGAGCATATACTGCAAGCAGTATGGACAATTGCCCATGTATCCTAACAATAAGAAGCCATCCTCCCAATTGAACATTAACCTAAAACACATTCAATCTTCCAAATTTAACCTCTCATTGACTAGTAAAGATAGATCCATATTACTTTGCCACATATTCATGCACTATGTAATAAGGTCATTTCACATTAAATCTTTTTTTAATGACACAGCATGCCTTTTGAAAGGTAACATTTAGATTACGAAGATTGAAATTTATACAACATAGATATTACATGTAGTTCATGGGCAGCTTTTTGGAGTTTGTTATTTTGTAGTAGAGGGAACACAGTGTAATGAATTTTTAGAGTTTTTCCTTTTGTTAGAAAGAGAAAATTTTCAGATTTATGAACACCGAGGGATGTACCAATGAGAAGTAAATGATAGAAAACAAGAAAAGATACTTTACTTACTTTAATGAAGGATTCAGAAGCATGAATTTGTCAGTGAACGCAGAGGCTATTAGGGGAAAATTTACTAATGAATAGAAGGAATTTACACATATATATTTATGAAACCATAGGTCTCTTAGAAATATATATGCATATCTTATCTGTAATGGGGAGACATTTTGTGTTCTGAGCCTGTAAAAAAGACATAATACCGAATGGGAATTACGGTATTTTCATAGACATTTTCTATGGATTTAGCCAAAGTCTGATTATGACAAGGGCACATCAAATTAAGATTAGAATTAACTCTTCTCCTCCTTCTTCTGCTGTATTCAAGTTAAGTAAGATTTTACAGCTCCTTCTGACCGTATTTCATTCTATTAACATAGAGCATAAGTTTTCCTAGAGCGTAAGTTTTCACTTGGCAATGAATAAAAAAAAACTGCAATTTTTAATCACCACCACCTCACTTTTCAAAACTGTATGTATTGTTCTAAGGCCATATTAGAATTTGTGAAATAGCAAAAACTTAAACACTGAAAGTGAAGTGCATAACAAAATTGTAATTCATTTCATAATAAAACTGGTTTCTTTTAGAAAAACACATCAAAGGGTTACTTCTTATTTTTCTCTACTGTTTGAATCATTTTTGGTAGATATTGCAATTAAAAACAAACAAAAAATTAATAAAATAAGTCAAACAAAAAATTAATAAGTCATACTCATCCAATATATGATTTTCTATATCTCCTGTTTGAAATTACTATAGAAATGAGTAAATTATCCAAATAATAATAGACATTTCTCTTTTATAATGTAGTTATCATTGGCAAAATTTTCTTCACTGTTTCCCATGTCTCTCATAAAGTAAGGCCATTTTGGATGAGGAATTATCTCTGCTAGAAGAACAATAATCTTCCTTGAATTTTCATAAATGAAGATAAATATAACAAACACAATGTCTGCAAGATATGTAAGTTTCTAAATATTAGCCTATAACACTGTCCTCTGAATATAAATCTCTATGGCTATTGGGAAACTGGAAGTCTTGAGAGTCACACAAAGGAAAACTGATTTACACAATCTCTATCAATCTCACCAGAAAGTTCAAGTAGTGTTCATTATTTCCTTTAGTTGACTTTATAGAGCCAAGATATCCTTGAACTCAAATGTAAGGCCTATTATTAAGGAAAATCGAAACTGTTGGTTACTTTCTTTGTTCAGAATAATCAGATAGGAAAGATTCATGATAAGTTAAGAAACAGCCTATGCTTCCATCGACAAAGTTGTCCTCTTTTATTACAGAATCACATTGTGATTTCTTTTAATAACTGTATGTATGGTTGGGAACATTTTCCACAATAGGGAGTATGAATCCGCAGTGGGATGTCTAACCTGTTTCACCTCTAATCATTTACTACATCAGTAATGGGATTAATGGCCAAACAACTTCAGATCAGAGACAATAAGGCATTTTCAATTTCTGTGTATGTGTGTTCTTCTAGTTCCATCCAGTGATTTCACTTGTGACTCTAATGCTTTCCTTAGAAATTCAATAAGATTTCTTCTGGGACTAATGATATAAACTAAAAATAGTAAAGAAGCAATCGCTGGTAATCCCAGCAGTCAGGAGGCTGAGGCAGAAGGATTGAGAGTTTGATTCCAGTGTGGCCTGTATCCTGTCTCAAAAACAAAATAAATAAGCCAAATGGTGGTGGAGAACGCCTTTAAACCCCAGCACTTGGGAAGCAGAGGCAAGGATATCTCTGTGAGTTCAAGGTCAGCCTGGTCTAAGAGAGCTAGTTTCAGGACAGGCTCCAAAACTACAGAAAAACCCTGTCTCAAAAAACCAAAAAAAAAAAAAAAAAAAAAAAAAAAAAAAAAAAAAAAAAACCAAATGATAAAGAAAAAGTTAAACACAAGATTAAAAACAGCTCCTTTAAAAAAAAAAAAGAGTGAGGGTACCATTCTAGAATCAGAAAATAGCTTACAATGTACAAATAGATGATTTCCTAGAAATAGTAATTGCAACTCAAATAACTGGTATCTGAAAAGTTAATGACTATTCTAGGATAAAGAAAGCATATTTAGAGTTTAGGAATTGGCTCTCAGTTAATATTTCCTCTTGTTATAAAATATTTATTAACAATGAAATATGGAAGAAACCGGCATCTATGTATTTAAGTTTAAGTTAATAGAGTTCAAACACATATACTATGAGGAAAATAATAATTACAAAATGGTTGACTGAACAATCAGATGCTTAGCTATAGAAATAGAATAGGTTCAGATCTCATCATGTCTTCGATTTATTTCGTAGAATTCATCTAAACTTTAACCAGCTGGTAGCACAATATATGTAAGTCTTCTCTGCCCATCGAAGACCAAAGGGATGGGATAGAAATGAAATAATCAAAGATTTGAGCACCAGAATAAAGACTAAGATGCTCAGAAGCAGCAAGTTGAGGTTACACTAAAGAACCAGATGGACTTTTGAATCTACAATGTTTCATTCAGAGCTCAGGCGGTGATTGATGAAGAACAGGCAATACCAAACATCACACATATCCAAGTCTGGAAGTCCATTCTTCCCCCCAGCTTGGCTAACACATTCACGTTTTCAAATGTGTTTTTACAGCTAGAATAATCTTATCCCCCAGAACCCCAACAAACAAAAAGAGAAGGATGAAACCTAAGCACTAGGGGAAATACATGTTTTTTTTTTTTATTTTATTGTGAGTTCTCATAGAACTTCTGTTACACATAAAACATGTGAACCATGAGTTCTCTTCACAGGTTCTCATGTGGAGCTGATAGAGGAAGAGAAACTTGGGAGGAATGTTTCTAAAGCTATAGATAGCTTCTTTTGCATTTATTTCACTTGTAAATATAACAAAGCATTGGAGGAAAAAGATTCTTAAGTTGTGAGAGTATCAAATATTACCCATCAATCCCTGAATCATGCTATTCAAAGTGCTTAAATCTACACTAAAAATAGAACAAAAAATGTACTCCCAATGCAGCTAAATTAACACCTATGGATGCCTAAAATATGACTGTGGTCTGATTACTTCCTCCACATTTATTCCACACACCCGCCGTGCACTTAAAAACTTAAAAAAAGTAACAAAGAAATAAATCAGGCCATTGCCACATTTACAATCTTCTGAGTACTGGGGAAGTTTGGAATCCAGTCCAATGACAAGTGTCCATAGTATAAAGTAAACAATGGCTTCTCTGGTTCTGAAAATAACCCAATGTGCAAAGCTGACCTTAAAGTTTTATGTGTCCTTGTAGCGTCAGTTCTGGTTTTTGAAAATGTGACACAGAACCAAGGGGAGCACAAGAAGAAAGACATATTATAGAGAAGACCTAGGCAAGTTGTCAGGGAAGTAAACATTTTTTTAAGCAAATTAAAAATGAATGCACATCCCAAGGCTCCTTTGCCTTGTCACACAGACAGAGACCTTTGCATTGTTACAAAGTGGTACGTCTCTCATAGATTCACAGTTCTACCTTGCCTCCCCAATTACCTTTATTGCAATTTACACTTTTATGTCCATGTGGCCTGCTCACACTTTAACCTTGTGACCCAAACTCTAGAATTGGTTTGTTGTTATGTGGTATGGCAGGAATAAAGCAAACACAGTAGTTACTACTTGAGCCCACAGATGATGATGGAAAAGGAATTTGCTATGATGAATCACTAAAGTTAAGTTCTATAAAGCTTAAGTTCTATTACCAGTGTGTCACATTGACTTGAAACAAACGAACAAACAACTAAAATCTACAAAAGTAATACTTTTAACAACTCTGCCCTCTACAGGATCTTTTGTGGGCGATTTAGCATCATTGTTAACACAACAAGGAATTAGCTGCTTATGTGATTGATTTGAAACATAAAGCTAGATGGTAAGTGACAAATTTCCTGGGAGCATCAACTTTCTGTTTCTGAAAGACAGAATCATATAGTTAAATTAAATTAATTTCTATACAATAAAATTAAGTATTTTAAGTATATTTTCTGATCTAATTTAAAACTATTTTGTGTAAATAATATTTATTTTGAAAATAGTAGTTTGTGTTGTTATTCATATGTTTGACCTCCTGAGATCTTATTTAAACATCTTTACATTAATAAATTCTGCTTATGCTCATAAATCGAAAGAAGCATTGAAAAGTAAATACAAGTCAGTTAACATGGGGATCCCACAATAAGCTGCACAGATTTTTTTTTTCTGACTTTTCAGAAGATAGAATTTTGTATAATACAAGGTGACAAAACATATTTGATGACACCTCCTGATCTTCCCTTTGGTTAATGGAAGCCTTCAATGGAAATTTCATTTGTACTTGCCTTGATTCACCTATCTGAGTTAACTTGCCTGGTATTTGCACATAATCTCATTTGCAGAAAAAATTAATTATAGAGGGAAAAGAGGAAGTAGATTTTCAAACAAAAACAGCCACAAACACATTCATGCCTTTCCAGGAAGTGATCAAATATAGGGCTTGATTTTTTTTTTTTTTGGTTTTGTATTTTTGTGTGTTTTTTTATTTATTTGTTTTGTTTTGCTGTTTTATATATATATTTCTATTTGTATTTCTATATATATTTCTATATATATATATATATTTATAAGGGTACACCAACTCATTTGAAAACAACAGAAGCAACACTCTCCCGATTTTCATGCCTTCGATCTTCCTCTGTAGTGGTCACTCTGTAGCAGTCACTGCTATGTGACTAGCACGACTTTGGGTCTAGAGTGTGTTCTAAAGCGAAGTGAATTAAATGTTAAGACAGTTAGGCCTACCCCTACCCTCTGCAGAGTTCTACAGATCATGCTGCCACGAGAAGGGTAGAGGTGGGGAATGAGGTGGGGACAAGGAAGAGATTTCAGGGCTCTGACTGGCAGGGCCCTCTTATGAGCAAATGTTCTTCTCTCTTTCTCTCTCTTTTTTGTTCCCAAACTTCAGTGCAATGCTGGCGCTCAGGTGCACTGCTCTCTGAAGGCCGTTGTGGCCCAGCTGGTCCTAGGAAGAACCCGAGAGAGGATCCGGTGCTCCTTGTCCCATCAGATAGATTTGTCCAAGCACCCCAAGGAAATGTTAAAAGCAAAACAAAATTTAAAAAGAACATTAAAAACCCATTCTAAAACTAAATTAATGAAGCAAAAAAAAAAAAGGGTTTCTATCTACACATCAGTCTCTTCTTTAAAAAAAATGTAAATTTACAAATCCAATGACATATAAAACAAAGTAAAAAAATGTAATGGTAAGAGACAACATGGTAAAACAGGAAAACACTGATGCTACAAAGAAATTCCAAAAAATATATGTACAAGACCCTGTTTTTCCTCGTGTTCTAGAGATTGTAATGCATGTTTGTTTGTTTGTTTGTTTGTTTAACAGCAGCAGTCGAGGATTTAGTTCCAGGCACTGGACTGCAGATTCCTTTCAAACGCCCAGGGACGGGATGTCCTTTGCTTTTCTGTCACCAAATCACACTGGATATACTGGTCTCCCTCGGCAACAACGGCAGGATGGCACTGTTTGTGTGGGCCTCATCTGGATTCGGCTCCCTGCTTGACTTTGTCTGTGGCCGCTGCCCATTGATGAGTGTCATGGGGATGTTACAGTAGGTATGCTGATTTCCTATGGAGGTAAGTGGCAGGGTGCCCGTGGGAGGTACATCGTACTCATAGCTTCGATAGTAGTGTTTCTGACGCATTTGTGAATGGTAGGTGTTGTGAAAGGTAGAACGGAGATCTGGGTGGGCAGTGGCTAGAGCTGTGGAGGTGGCGGCAGCCATTGAAATGGCCGAGACAGTCTGCAGCTCCCCGAAAGGCCCCTGCTCGCTGACATCTAAAGCCTGCTCGTGTGTAATGGGCTCTATTCTCTTAAAAGGCATTTCGTACTGTAAACGTTTCCAGAACTTCGAGTTCAACTTGTTGCATTTTGGTCCATGCCATTTAATAACCGTGAGGAGCTTGATGGTGTGCTTGAGGGCCTCCACCTCCTGGTAGTTCATAATTCCTCGGAGTTCGCTGCATTCGATCAGTATCACCTTGATTTCTCCAGTCACAAGCATGTTTCGTAGTCTGGTTTCCAGCTCAAAGATGCTCCAGCCCCTTCGAACTACATAATTTGGGGTCATGACAATGATCAGCCGCTTACTTTGATCTACACATCTTGCCACATCTTCAATGTATGCTATAAATAGAAGAAGAAGGAGCAGGATAAATGAACTGATAAAGAGATCCAGAAGCTTCTTACACTTTCTCTCACATACTATGTGAAAATTGTTTGTTGTCAACACGTTGTGAAGATGAAAACAGGGGATGAACAGCACTTTGGATAGAGTTTTGGCCTCTGTTGTAGTAATTAGGGATATTTATCAAGGTATAAATACCTCATTTGATTTAAATAAATATTAAGGCTCACAGAATGCAATGGTTTATAAAGTGATAAACTATCATCTCTGGCTTATTTTTTTTAATTTATTTATTTATTAAGGATTTTCTTCTCTGGATTATTAAGAATTCAATTTCATCTAAAAATATTTCTTTCTTGGGAAACTAAATAAAATTTCTCAAGTTGCAAATTGCTAAGGAAAAATGGCGACTACATAGACATGTCTACTTACAACACACATATATATATATATCCACACACAAATGAAATAAACAAGTGAAAATATTAACTTACTTCCAGTTGGGATCAAATCTCTATCTGGTATGAACAACTTATATCCATAATGCTTTTCAAGCATATCAGGTAGGATTTCAAGGGCAAAACGTTCTTCTTCCCCAGTCTCTTGGTTCCACTGGTCAGGGTCCACTTTGGTATATGACAGATAGGCATCATAATCTTTGTTGTCTGTCAAAAACATTACAAAGTAAGTTCTACAAAGTAAGTGCTAGGAAGAAAGCAGCAGAATACTAGCAATATTCACTTTTATTGATAAATATATACAAACATTACACTCAGGAAATAAAAAAAAGCCTGTATTAATTTTTATCATATGTTTGGTAGTACCACCAGCTTTGCTGGGAGGTACAAAGGGACACATTGTGATTTTTGCTATTGTGATAAAAATAGTAGGAAAAAAATTAATGGCAAAAGAAATGAATGAGAAAGAGATGGGGGTGGAGCTTAGTGCTGGACTTCATAAACCGCTGGTATCACCAGCAAGTACAACTACTGGCACAACCAAAATATCAATTTCTGTAACTTTCAAAAACACAAATTATAGGAAATCTTTACTGTTTATATAAAAGCTACATGTTTAGATAATAATATGTTATTATTATATATGCTGCATTTAAAAACTCTGTCTTTGGATATTTTTTAAGATGAGGGCTACGATCATTTAATTTCAACTTTGATTTAAAAACATTTTTACTTTCAGCTAGACTGATTTTGACTCTTTCCTCTTCACACAGATCACCTGGACTGTCCTACTCCAGGAGTTCCATGATGGCCCCTACCTATTTGGCAAAGCCTTAGCTTCTGACCTTCTCTCTTTGTGTCTCCCCACATCTAAACTCATACAGTATAGAGATGACCTTCTCCTCTGAAGTCCATCCCTACAAATTAGCCAATCTAACACCTCTGCTCTTCTAAATTTCTTTTCCAGTCGAGGCTATAGAATCTCACCATCCAAGGTCCAACTTTACACTCTTCAGGTCACTTATTTGAGATTAATCATTACCCCAACACACAAATCTATTACTTTGGATAAAAACTGTGAATCCAGTCACTCACAGTCCTTTCAACTAAAGATGAATTTTTATCATTCCTAAAAATAGTGGCTTCTTAAATTCCCGAATTGCCTCTTTTTCCTTCCTTGCTTGCCACTTATATGAGGCAGCCCTTGCCCCCCCCCCATGAACTCCTTCTCAGTCTCATCACTATCTCTTTCAGAAGCTCCAACAGGCTCTCCTCCAAGTTCCAACCCTTCACCTCCCAGACCTAACTCATTCCTTGGTTCAGGACAATTGTCTATATTCTGTCAATTATGTTTTAAATAAATGCTGATTGGCCAGGAAGTATAGGAGGGAAGTAGAGGCAGGTCAATGAGAACAGGAGAATTCTGGGAAGAGGGAGGCTCCCTCTGCAGTCCTGTTCAGACACAGAAGAAGCAAGATGTGACTACGCTGCTGAAAAAAGGTACTGAGCCATGTGGCTAACACAGATAAGAATAATGGGCTAATGTAAATTATAAGAGTTAATAAGAAGCCTGAGCTAATGGGCAAATCAATTTATGATTAATGTAAACCTCTGTGTGATTTCTTTGGGAATTAACGACTGTGGGAACCGGGCAGGACAGAAACCCCAACAACAGTTCCTTCTCCCTCTGTGTGACAGAAAAAGAATGGCATGCCCTTGGGGTCCTAGGCCACCAGCTGGGGCCTGTAGTAATATTTCATTTGTGTTTTAACAAATAAAGCTTGCCTGAAGATCATAGCACAGAACTAAGCCACTAAAGGCAAGGGAGTGGTGGCACGCACCTTAATCCCTGGACTAGGGAGACAGAGCAGACAGATTTCTGTTAGTTCAAGGCCACCCTGGGCTATGCAAAATTGATCCAGTTTAAAAGAGAAACATAAGTCACACAAAGGTGATCCCAGCACTTAGGATCCCATGCCTTTAATCCCAGCACTAGGAAGGTGGAGACAGGCATGATATGGCTGAGCAGAAAGAAGAATATAAGGTGAGAGGGGACAAGAGCTCAGTGCAGTCTGAGGCAGCAGTCTGAAGCAGTCAGCCTGAGGATCAGTCTGAGCAAGCATTCTGAGGCTTGGTGGAGGCAGATGCAGTCTGAGCATGTAGTCTGAAGATGCAGTCTGAGAATTAGGAGAGACAGGATCACCCTTTCAGTCTGAGGATTCAGTAGAGGTAAAAAGTCTCTCTTGTGGCTGGCTGCACTGCTTCTCTGATGTCTCAGCTTTCACCCCCTAATATCTGACTCCGGGTTTTTATTTCTTAAGACCAATTAGAATTCGTGCTACAGGAACCTTTCCTTGTACCTGTAGCATACCTGTCAAAAACAAACTAGACCTAGCCACTCAGAGATGGGCACCATGTATATGTGCTTTAGTTGCTGCTGAGCTCCTCATTCGTGAATCAAAAAAACTAGACTTTGGGTCACCCATCACTATCTTCCCCACCGCAACCTGCCCCATCTCTTAACTTATAAAGGCTTACAAACTCCACCTCCTTCCTGAGTTCTTATTCTCCAGGTGGCACTATTAGAAGATGTCACACTTACTTTCCCATCTTGCCCATCCTTCAATGTCTCAAATCTTCTTCTCCAACCAAGCACTGACTACTTCCCATATAATTCTTGCATTGAAACCCTAAAGGAATTACTGTCCCATTCCTCACAATACAAGAGGGCACACTGCCTCAGGCCACCTGTGTAATGCTGTCTCTTTAAGAGACAAGCCACGCCCACTCCTTGCAGCCTCTCTCCCTCCCTCGCCATCTTGGCTCTCTCTCTGTCCCCTTATCTCCCCCCCTCAACCTCCTTCTTCCCTTTTTCCTTCCCCTCCATAACCCAACTAATAAATATCCAATTCTATTCTGTAGGATGTGCCTGTCTATGTGTCTCCCACCCATCACCTGCTCACACCACTTGCTGGGCTTGCAGGGAATAGCCCTCTGCCACATGGCTGGGGACCGGCCACCTTGGTTTGTGGGCCTGCCACCACTGGGACCCCGCAGCAAGCTGCTGGGGACTCCCTGCAAATCCATAACAACCTGTACCTGGTACACAGATGGCTGCTCCTTTTTACATGAAGGGATCCAAAAAGCATGCTATGCCATAGTGTCAGATACTGGGGTGGTGAAATCACAGACACTCCTTACCCACACTACTAACCAAGAGGCTGAATAAATATCTCTCACCTGTGTCTTCCAATTGGAAGAAGGACAACACTTAAACATTTACAGAGACTCCAAATATGCTTTTCATATCCTCCTGTCCCACATTGCCATCTGGAAAGAGCGTTGGCTACTTACAACAAAAGGAGGATCCATAATTAACCCAGATCAAATTACCTCCCATCTCCCCAAAGCAATAAGAATTATTCACTGCTGGTCTTGTCAGACTGACTACTCTGTCATCTCTAAGGGGGAATAACTGTGCTGATGAGGCAGCTAGGGCAACAGCCCTCCAAGTTCCAGACTCACCTCACCCACTGCAGGAAGTCCACACACTCCAACCCATCCCCACAATTACCCTCTGACACTTGACAAATTCTGTCCTGTCCACACTAGCTCTTTCATCCTAATAGTTACGTTCTGCCTCATTTTGTCAAGGCTCACCTACAGCCCACCCCTGAGGACTTGCATTTCTTAAGAATTATTATTGCTTGTTATAAAATTTGTCAAATGCCATATTTTAACTCCAGATATCATAGCACCCCTTTTTCTACCTACTGGGTTAGAGGCTCCCTCCTGGGGACTTGACTGGCAGCTTGATATTACCCACATGCCCACAGACAAATGAGTTAAGTATCTCCTGGTTCTAGTGAACATGTTCTCAGACTGGGTGGAAGTGTTCCCCATCACTATAAAAAGGGCTCATACACTCTCCAACCTCCTTCTCTGGGCAATTATTCCCTGATTTGGAATCCCTGACTTTTTCCATTAAGACAGTGGTTCAGAATTCACCTCCTAGATCTCTCAAACCCTATTTAAAGCTCTCAGCATCTCTTGGCATTTTCATATCCCATATCATCCTCATTTCTCAGGAAAGATTAAACAAACTAATTGCTCCTTAAAAACATTCGTGTTAAAATATCACAGGAATTTCACCTTGACTAGGTACAGCTCTTGCCTCTGGATCTTTTTAGGCTTTAGACTCTCCCCAAGTGAAACCTTTCAATTTTACAATTTGAACTCATGCATGGGAGGGCAGTTCTAACCCCCAGCTTCCCATCAAAACCCTCACCTCTCTCTGATCACCTACTCATCCCCCTCATCATCTCTGTTCCCTCATATGGAACTTTACCGACCACTCCCTACCCCGACCATGCACTAACTCCTGTCCATTTCCAGTCAACAACATATGGGATTAGGTCTTTCTCTCTCCTGAGAGACCAATGCCTCTCACTATTTCCCCCTAAATTGCAGGGCCCCTTTGAGGTAATTCTTGTAACCCTCACAGCTGCTAAGCTTGATGGCTTCCTCCATTAGATTTACTTATCTTACGTCAAGCTCTTTATACAGCCCAACACACAGCTCAAGATAATCTTCCTTTATACACAGCAACCCCAACATGGCCCTGCTTCCTTCAGTTTCAGAGAACGCTGAGATCAACTGCCTTGTCTCTAATTCCAGAAGAATGAAACAACCTTACAGTCCTATAACTGTACTCAATTTTACCAGATTAGGAATCCCCTATGCTCTCTTTCCTGACCCCCTCCGCATTCTCCTGTCTCTACTAATCATGCCCTACTTCATTAATTTCCTCCATATGTATCTCCAATGACATATTCAAAAGTTTTAATTAAACTAATTAACTGTTGTTACAGTACTACCAACCATTAGCCACAGAGCTGGAGGTGTAAAGACTATCAAATGTGCCTGGGTGGTAAGAAACAACAACATCACAGAGATACCCACATCCCCAAACTCAAAAAAAAGAGACTCGCAGCACAGATTTCAGTACAATTCTTTACTATTGACATCCCTCAGCAATCAACCACCTGTCTCCTGAGCAGTAATCTGAAAGTGATGCCATTTCCATTTCTAAGGAAGGCCTGCACGAGCACCCCTCTTTTCACACCCTATCAATAAACTGCCAGCGTGGGTTTGTTGTACACTGTGGTTCATTCTCAATGCCGCTAAACTACAACAATTGGGAAGGC